AGAGATAAGGGCTAGTTATTCAAAAAGTGGGGGCTTTCATTCTCAGTTGTGCTAAATACTGTTACAATTCTCTACATTCTTGAAGAATTGGTCCTTTTTATACTTTGAACTCCTAGAATTTGGGTGAGTAGACAGCAACAATACCAATAAATGTATGAAATTTATGAAGAAAAAGATATTTCAGCTGTGGCATTTAGCTTGTTGATGGGACAGGAGTTGGAAAAGAATCATGTACCTTCTTTCTCATTGGGAAACCCACCCACAAATATTTTAATATCTCCAAACCAAAGGAGTCTTGGGGTGTGACATAGCATGTAACACCAACGAGGAAAAAAAATGAAAATAAATAGATTTATCTTTCTCGGATAAGTGAATCAGCCTAAAATGCAGATGGGCTTTGGGAATGACAAATAAGCCCATAGTCACTCATAGAAACTAACCACAGGGCTTTTACCCATTTCTTTCGGTTTCAGTGTTTCAGGCTGATCCAGTGGCTTCAGGAATTGCCAGCAGCTCACAACATCTGTGCCTTTAGTCAATGACTTCTACCAGAAGTTCAAAATGTACTTGGATCACAGTAACTTCAGGTGCTGCAGCATGTTAAGTGCACTCCAAGTGCAAGGATACCAGTAACTGTCCATCAACTGGAAGTAAATAGTGCTGATAGCATGATGTCATGCAAGGAAGAAAAGGTCTATATGGGGAGCAGTGAATGTCAGGACAGCTTATTTCCAGGCCAGCAGCATTAAACTGATATCCTGGAGTTCAATTTTCTGCAGTTCTACCGCACTGATCTGTTTCCCTTGGCTGAAGCTAGCTGTGTATCTTATGTAGGATTCTGCTTAATGCTGTATAGACTTCTAATATTTGTTGACTGTTGCTGATATATTACACACACACGTTAGTATCCTATGATTCTCTTTTTAAATTGACAATTTTGAAATAAACTTACAAGCAGAAAAGTGACTGCAAAAAGACTGCCCTAAGAACTGCTCACATCTGCTGTTGCTGGGTGATCCTTCTTTCACTTACGTTAGTTTAAATCAAATCACTGCTCTTTTCAGTGAAATTACAGTGGTACAGAAGTGACATAACTGAAAGGCCCTGAATCTTTTTTGAGGGATGCTGACTTACTTATTGACACGAAAAAGCTATAATTACTGTTAGCATTTGCAGAATTAATTAACTAATTAACTAGCAGAAGCTCTTCAAGTATTGTCAAAGTATCAGTTCTGATGCTAGGACCCTTACTGTGGGACAAGATCAGTTTTTGTCAGAGAAGCAATATTGATACTGGCTAGTTTTCAGATAACAGATTGAAGAGACAAGAGTGAATATTAGATTTCACCTACAATGAGTTCTTTAACTGGTAGTGGCATGTGAAGTACATAAAGCTGGTGAATGCTAGATCTGCTATTTAAAGTTTGAGTTACAGGTAGCCTCAAATTTGAGACTCACTGAGGTTAAAAATGGTTAGCTATATGGGACTGTTCTGAGAAACGCATGCACATACTGGGAAAGAGTTGGGATCTATTTAGTTTTCAGATGACTTTCAAGTCCTCTTATGATTTACAAGAGAATTACTGCTATGATTAGGATTAGAATTTTCAATTGATGGTATTGAAACTCATTGGGGCTGTTGCTAGGCCTATGTTACGTAGGCAAATGTGCATTAATTAGGACAGGTATCATCAGGGGCTACAAATATATGTTTGTAAGGCTGAAAGTGGTTCCTTACCTCAAGTTACCGGGAGAATCAGGAATAGCTGTAAGGTTAGGAAGAAGGCTGAGTTTTGGGTTGCATATAACTCCTTAAGGTAGGTTATGCTAAGGTTTATATTAAGCCTCCAGGTTCACAGTAGCACTCATACCATCAAGCTCACCAACTATGTTAATCTTTGGAGATGATAAAGGCCATAATGTAGCATTAAAATTACAGTAAAGGTAGAACATGGACTCACCATCAGAGGTAAATTAAATTTGGGCATGAGTCCAAAAGAAGTGGCTACATTCAGTTTACAGTAGAATCTAATGGGATAATGCAAGCTGTATTGAGTTTTAGATGGAGTTGAGATGGATTTTCTCCTTAAGATTAGCATAACAGTAAAAGTTAGGACTGAGATCATTGTTAGGGGTAGGATTCTGAGTGTCCTAGGTATACAAGTAATTGTTCGGAGAGGTATTCAAAAAGCAGACATTTACCAGCATTTACTTTTGATGCCATCAGTCACTGATGAACAATTGTGTTTATGGCTGCTGTAGATTACTAGCAAAGAGTTAAGAATGCAATTGGATTTGTAGCTTGGATTAGGTAACAGATTTGGTAGGGAAGATGAACTAAGATCAGTCTTTCATTTGTTGAGGTCAAATAAGAGACGTATGGAAAAGTAATTTTAGTTTTGGGGAGAAGGGGGATGGCTTGCTTAGGGTTATCAATGAGGAAGGCAGACCTTAGATTAAATGCCAGTAAGATGATCTTTTAAGTGTCCAGGAAGCTAGGGTTAGTGCAGGAGCTAGAAGATGAAGAGAGACTTCTTGGTCAAAGTTTTCCATGTAGTTTGTGTCAGTGTTAAAGTTTGACCTGAGCTTGTAAGGGACAGCTGAGTTTAGTCCTAAACAGAGTTTAATCCTAAAATTAGCTTGATACTATTACAAACCAGCAAGTCCTGATTAGTTTGGTGACTTGCACCCTTTTAGCAATTCCTATTATGCATGGCACCAACATCATCATGATTTTAACCATAAAAGACAGTCAATCATCCATGCTAAATGGAACACCTTTCAGGAAACAGTTTGACACATGCAGGATAATCTGATAAATATATATATAGGTCACTCTCCATTGGATGCCATGTGCTGTAAATAAGACTATATAGAAAATTTAGATATCTGAAGCATGTTTGCACATTTCTTTTCTAGGAATAGGCTTTAAAGATTTTAGATATCTTTTCGTCCCTAGCGAATCCTAAAGACTTGTCCCAGGAGAGAACAAAGGATTTGCATATTGCATACAGCATGCTTATGGGACCCATTCTTTCTGCTTGATTTCTCTTCAGTCTGTTCTGTTTTCTCACCACTTTGTACCAAACCAGTAGATTAACTAGATCAAAGACTGAGTATATAAGGAAAAATGGGGAAGAGGTGGAGAATCATTCCTTTAGAAATCACAGTTCAAAATGGTGGATGCAGCATTTGGTAGAGTATGAATCTTTTCCCATTATTCCCACACGAAAAAGATTACAATGGATGTGTACCTCTGATCTTACTGGGCAATGCTCTGGGCACTCACAACTGTGTGCAAATTATTCCTACAAAGAATTTTCCATGCTAACCTGATATAAGAACTGCAGGTGGAGAAGGATGGGACATTTCTGGGTGGGATCTTGTTGGAGAGTCAGAAATGTAAGGCTATGGGCTCACAGCCAGACTGCTACTGAAATAATAATAATAATAATAATAATAATAACAACAACAATAAAACACTGCCTGCATTCTACGCTGGTCTTCAGAAGACTCAGATCTTTGGTCTCAACTCTGCCTGTCTGAAGGATCAGTTGCTGCTAAAGAAAACACTCCTTGCTTACATATCTAGATAGCTTTACTTCATCTAATTGGAATCTTTGGGTATCTCTAATTTGTGTTTTATGGATCTCTTTATGTCTTCTTTCAAAACAGTTCAAGCTGCAGCAAGTCAGCAGGGCTGATACCCATCTCATCTGGACAATGTGGTGCAGATGACACAATTACCTCATGTATTCAGGCAGACTAGGTGTAATATGTCTGTAAATAATTCATGACCAGGCTTTGTGAGGAAGCCATGTAAACAGGAAGATGCAGCCAGCCCTGTGGCTCCTATTCAGAGGCCACACATTCCACCTGCACAAAACATTCAAAACTCCTTTTCAATGTTCATATTAGGAGCAGTTTGCATTTCACTGGAATGAAAGTGTATTGACACAGCTAATAAAAAGTTTCCCTCCAGTTTTGTGACCAAAAAGCTTCAACAGAGACAATCCAGTGGAACAAATAGGGAAGTGGCTGTACCTTTGCAAGTAACATGGAAAAACACAATGAACTGACAAGGATGAAATGAGAACAAGTTCCATCTAACGTTGTGAAAGGCCAACAATTCAGGGCATGCCCTAATTCTCTAGAGTCCATTGAGGCTGCACACAGCCAACTAATATGAGCAGCTTGAGTTTCAAGCATCAGCTGTCAGATGATGGCTAAAACGATCCATATACAGAATATGCATATTCTTTTCCCTCACCAGTGTAAAATCATAAAAGTGCACTTCACTTATTAATCCCAATACTTCAGGCATCACAGGGAAAAACAAAACAAAACAAAACAAAAAAACCTACAGCATTATGAATTATACATGGAGTGAAAACCAAGCCTTCAAACTTGTAGAAGACAAAGAATTTGAACGACCGTCTAAAATGAAATCTATTTGGGAGGAGCCTATGGGAGGAAAAACCAGGTAGCATCTATGCATAAATAATTTCTTCTGGCTTGCTAACTCTTGTTCAAAGCTCAGACTGATGTCAGTGTAAGATTACAACTAACTGGCTCATCAAAAATCAAACCCATTTTTGAGGGTTATAAATATTACAAATGCTATCTGAGTTTATCCTAACGGTTAGATGACATAGCACTTAGAGTATCATTAATAGCATGTCTGCGTTAGTTACTAATCTGATTTTTTCAAAATGGGAGTTAGATGCCCATGCTGAGTAAGACACGTAGTTTCCATTCACGCTGTCATTTTCCTTTGAAATTGGGTTCTCGTTGGGTTGGTTTCTGTTTTTTTCCGATCTTATTCCCTGTTCAAACCATTTTTTTCCACGTGAGGGCGCCAAAGGTCCAGCTTCATAACGGCAGTGCCCCAGTTTGCAAGCCGTGCTGCTCAGAAGGCACACGCACAAAAATGCAACCAACCATCCAAAAAAAAAAAAAAAAAAAAAAAAAAAACACCAACCAACCAACCAACCAAAAAAAGACATTTTTGGATCACTAAAACACAAATTATTTACAGTTCCATATACTAACATTATGATATTTTCACTGCTAGAGGTGGAAAGAGACTATTATCATCGAGAACATAACAGACAGCAATGTGTTGTTTACTGCCTTGGGTCAGAAGATGCCCAGAAGCTCATCCAGAGGAAGATCATATCTACTTCTCTGTAGACATCCTTTGCACACAGGTGAGTAGATAGGCACATGGGTTACACCATCAAGCTAAGCAGAGACCTGAAGATTGTGCTTTTATTTGCCTCCATCAGATGTGATCTAGTCCTTCTTGATCCGTGTGTCTGAATTCATAGCTAGCATTTATCTCACTTTAGTTCCATGGGTTAATATTTAATTCAGCAGCAGATTTGGTGAACTCCTGGAGTTAAAGAGTTCATTTCATCTGAGTTATCTTTCTCTTCCCTTTGTCTTCGAATTTTCAAAGAAGGGTTTTTTGTGTGTTAATCTAAGCAGACTTTTAAAATTTTTTTGAAGATCTTTAAGTGGAGTGTCTACTTTCTGTCTCTTCTTCGCAATTGAATTGTCATTCAAGCTGTAAATTACTTGCTAAACCCAAGAGGTAACAAAAGCAATATTCCATTGATGTCATAAGAGAAGCCACTTTTCATAGCTAAATCACATATGACTAATATATTTGTCATGCTAATGTGCTGGGTCGTATTTTAAATGTTTCTAATGATGTTCCGTAACTATTTATATGACTACTACTTAAGAATAATCTGGCAGTTCAGTTGAAACACTTACGTTCTGTTTGAGTTGGAAGCCTACCTCCCACTGTGAGTTCAGATGTTTTAAACACCTGTCCTGGAATTTTTCAGTTCTTTTTGGTGATGTCTCTAACGATGCTACTGAAATGAGAAGGCAGCAAGACAGGATGTGTTAATTATTACACATGAAAAATCAGAGCCTGAATCAAGGCTTGCTTTAAACTGTGGCTCCTTTCGGTGATGATTTCTTTGCTAACATTTTTCATTTACTGTGAACAGTTCCATTTATTACCTGCACCTACTTCCTGAGCTAGGTACAGGTATACATCCCAGATAATCCGCTCCCTGCTAATTCATGCTATTATGGTTCGAGCTGCCATCTAGTCAAGGACAAATGAGGTCAGCATGTGGAAGAGAAGTTTCCCCTTTCCTTGTGAGGCCTACTCAGTTGCCTATCCTATAGAAATGCAGTCTGACTAAGACAGCTTAATTTCCCACCCACTAGTTGAGACACTGAAGATAGTCACCTGAATTCCCAGTTCTCACAAAAGTGAGACAAGGAAAGCTGGCAGAAGATTATGAGTATAAATCCTTCCAGAACTGAAATGCACATGGGCCCCATCTAAATGTGCTTATATGTCCTTTGACGGGTGGGAGGGTTGTCTGCATTTCTGACTAAGCAAGGGATCTCTAGCATGTCTGTGCTTATGTATGATGATGAAAAAGTGTGAAAGTAGGTGGCAAGGGAGGGAACGAGCTAAATTGTCAGAAAATCCTGAACTGTCTTGGGTCTCCTGGATTGAGAAAAGTGAGATACTCAAAGAACACGTCCTGGCATACTGCACACAGGGCAATTAGGACAGCTCTGTTAACAGTGGCTGCATCTAGGATATTGATTACAGGGAGAACAAAAGGAGAAGCACAACCTTGCCCCCATTACATGACATGGAAACCACAGAGCAACAAATGAGGCCAGAGGGAAAGCTGCATTTCCTTAAACCCACATATTCTTTCTCTGCAGTGTCAATATAGTCAGCATTCCCTTTAACTTCAGTATTGATCAATGAGTTGTACCCACTCACTAATTTAAATTGAGTTGTTGTCGGTGACACATCAGCATGTATGAAAAGAAGACAAGATTTTCAGAAGGTTGTATATCTGATTTGCACATACAGTTACGAAGGCCACAAACCAGCAGCACTTACCATCACTGGGGACTTGTGACGTGACACACTTGCTAACCAAATGGCATGGGAGAACCAAACCTGAAGCAAATATCTATCGGACACCTTGCTTGGAGAACATTTGGAAGACTGTGACTCAGGGAAAAAAAAAGAAAAAAGTGAAGCTCTGTAAACAAAAGACACTGTCATCCATACCAGGATCTAAATACATAACCAAAAAGTTTCTTCTTGTAATTATAGATGTAATAAAAGATGAAATCCTTTATCAATATAATATGGCTGCTTGCTTACAGTAAACTGCACAAAATCCTTCATGATAAAAGAATTGCTTCATTCTTAGCATACAAAGTGATATATCTTTTCATTTCTAAACTTTAACAATTGATTCCTACATAAAGTGGTACTTGATCTCATAATAACAGATAGACACTTAACTTTTAGTGGAATCCTGTCCAAATCTCTTTCAGATCAGTAAGTTTTGATTGTGTTTTATGCATTATCTTTACAGGAAATTCCAAATGCTTGCAATGGTTTCATAGACTTGTCATACTAAATCATAGTCCTGGAAATTTAGAAATAAGTTTAACACAGGCATATGGTTAACTAACATTTTACTAAAAATAATAAAAAAGCAGAAGGAGAAAGAGGAAAAAACATGGAACTACTACTTTCCTTCTGCACCAGCTAATTCAAACAAAGCCAAAACACAACCAAGTCATCTGGATGTAAATAACTTAATTGCTCTCTGCCCTTTAGTATTGGTCACCCTGATGGGAAAGTCCCTGAGTAAAGTGATTTTCACCTATCGGAAGAGATGAGTGCAGTAGCATTGCTCTATGAAGATACCACAAGCTGGCTCACATTGTTGCAGAACAGTGAGATCTAAGGAGACAGAGATCCACAATTGCAAGAAAACAATGAGCACACTGGTTTCATAAGCAGTGAAATCCCCTGAAATTTTATTGCTTGCATTCAGAAGCTGAGAAAGCAGAAGTCTTTTGGGGATTGTATGTGCATTTGCACAAATCTATTTTGTCTCCTTTATGCTGAGAGCCATCCAGCTAGCAGAACAACTAGCAGTACAGCTGCTTTTTGAGGCAATAGGAGGCTGCAGTCATGTAACGTGAGTTTGCCTCAGCTTGATACAACAATTTCTAGGCTATGCTGGAACAGAACACACACTGCAGTGCCATCCAACCAAGGATAGGGCTCGGAATGAGGCAGAGAGTGGGAACGGTTTATGTCAAAAAAATTATTGGCTAGGCCGGTTTAGGCCAGGCTCATATTTTATCTACAACCTATAGCATGTCTTGGATGACTTTGATTATGACTCATCCCTATATTTAAATGTCCAACATACAGCATTATCAGTTTCAGCCCTCAAAAGCTTGGGTGTGTTCTCTGTTTACCACAAGCCCATGCTGATGTGTCAGTCTACAAAGTTTTTTACTCCAGGTTAAGGAAGGCAACAAAGAACAAATGAGGTCTCTTATGTGACCTCTCCTCTGACACATACCTGGAATTTACGTGTAGAACAAACTACAGCTCCTATCAGCAGATGGCAAGTTCGTTCATTTAAAGATACAGAAAACAGAAAATGAAATCCAGGTTTCTTTTCTGTTCTAATAATGCAATATATATCAATGTTTAGCATGATACGCAAATATTAAACACATCCCAGGCTTTTGTTTTCTGTGGAAACATGAGGTTGAGTCAACAAGTCCTGGGAAGAGACTGTGGTAGATGAAGGTATCCTTCTATGATAGAGCAAACCTGGCGACCTTGTTCACTGAACCTTTTGCCCAGTGATAATTCCAAGCATTTATCAGGAATGCGGCTCCCCAGAACATTAGATCATGTAAGAAGCACAAGATTTTATGCAAACTAAAAATGACATGATCTCTGCTAGCTTTCTGATCATACAGATTCATGTTTTGAAGATATTCTCTGCAATCTCATGAGCCACGACTCAAATTCAAATCACAAATCACAGTTACTTTCCTAAAGCAGTAGTGGCATATCGTCAAGGACAGGATAAGCGAAGCTGAGCCTAGAAATTACTTTTTTTTCCTAACCAGGATGTCACTCAAAATTGCCCTGACTAGTGAGACTGAATTAGAATGATCTCATTCAGAGATCCCATAAAAAAGTGATGACATACACTTTTTCCATCATTCTACCAACATCTCCATACTTTGATGAGAAAACAGGAAACACGTTTATTTTTTTAATGACCACAACAGACAGGATAATGTTATGATTCCCACAGTTAACACATATGGAACTTTAGAACAAATAGGACGGAGAAAACAGCACTTGAATCTTCATCAAAAATAAACATCATATCTAAAAGGGTAAGAAATAACTTGCAGCCTCAAGCTTTCAAATTACCAAGGAGATAACAAAAGTGCTGTTAACAGCACTGTGAATGTGGCAGACACACAAATATTCACACATGCACATGGTATCTCTGTTTTAGAGTAGCGTAAAGTAAAACCTAAAATGTCATAACAGGGATATGGGGCCAGCTTGTCAATGAAAATTACCATCAACACGACAAAGGTGGTAGAGATAAAGAGCTCTGCCCTTTGCAAGGTTGGGGATGGTTTTGGTTAATGGTTTGACATAGCACCCTATGATGGAGCACCTTTGCACTCTGATAATACTCCAATTTCTTAATAAATATTTAGTCTGTAGAACAGTGCTTTGCTGAGGGCCAGTTTCACCTGAGCACCAAATGGATCTGGGCTTTCCATCACATGCCCTGTGATTTAAATACAATGTCATAATCTCTCCAGGCACACAGTTCTAATGTCAAGTCAGAAACATTCCATGAATGCTGCAAAAGCAATATAGATTAGTTCAACATTACTTCTAATTATAGCACAGTGCTATGTACATAATTTAATTGCACCATGTGTACTCATGGTTAGAGGCATACAAGGAAATAAAGCCTTCCAGAGAGAACAGAAGACAGAAGAGCAGAGGAAGAATACATGTGTATGCGTGTATGTTTTTGCAAGTGAATTCAGTGCCAATTACCACTAAACTGAAGTAAAGAGCTAGTTTTAGCAAACATGTCTGTACCACAAGACATAAATCAAGTGCATACAATGCCTAACAGGTGGACACAGTTCACAGTTTGTGTAAGCCACTTCCTTGGCAAGAAGCTACTCTGGATTTTTGCCCAGGGGCCAGGTGCTCCTCACTGACTGACAGGCCTAACCTCACAGCACTTTCCCCATCAGCACACTGCTATGTATTTTACATTAGGAAGGAAAATTAACCCTAAGAAAGATGCAGCACAGGCAGGAATATTCTTGGAAAAACAGCACTGGTGTGCTCAGTAAGCTCAATTCCCAGTGCAGCATTAGCAGAAATTCCCTATGGAACATTTCACTTTTGCTGGCCATTTACAAACATTTCCATACGGACTGATTCTGTTTATTCTGCTGGGCTCCTAGCTTTTCTCTCTGCTGTCCAGTGATGTACCAGTGGATCTCCCAGGGGACTCTACATTTTATTCACATTCTTAGCTCTTCCAATTTTGTTTTATTTTTTTCTAGTCCAACATTGCATGCCCTAAAGTCAATAGACCCAGAGCTTGGTAACAGTAATTTGAGGTAACTGAAGTATTACTAAAACAAATTATTGAGTGAGTATTTATATGAGAATTCATGTAGTGTTAGCAAGACACTTCATCATGAAGTTTAAATGAAATTCTCTCCCACTCATTCCCAGTTTCCTTCAAGTCCAGATCCCAGACCTTCTGTATCTTTCTGATTGACTTTCTGCCAGGATTCTTGCTCTGAACTTTCATTCCTACCCAGGGAGGATCTGCACTGAGAAGGACACTGGCAAAATAGCTGAACAGCAGCACCAGGCAGTGTCATGACACAAAAATAAAATAATTTGACAGAAGAAGCAATATTTACACAGTATTTACACAGTGCTGTGCCAGACAAATTAGATTAGCTGATTCTGTAATTAGCCCATATATAGCACTTCACCAATGCAATGATGCTTTCTCTTCCAGCAATAAAGTCAGACTGATGAAGATAACACCAGTATTCCTGCGGAGCGCTGATATTTTGCTTTTACCTTGCTGTTTTACCTTGGAGTAATTTACAAAGAATAATAGCAGTATGTGAGCTTTATACAGTTCCAAGTCAATCAGAATTAAATGCTACTTTTCTTCTAAAGCCTACAGGACAGATCAGATTTTCAGCTGTTTCTCTCATACTTGTAAAAAATTTGCACAGCTAACATACTCCCAAATTTGCATTTTTCATGTTTCCAGCATTTCAAAAGAATTGCAATGTATCCGAAGAAAGCAGATCCTTCTCACAGAAATAATGTTGTTAAAATCCCACGTTTCTATCAAAAATATATTAGAGAGGATTTCTTAGTTGTTGTTTTGCTTTTAGTAGTCCTGGCTGTAGGGGCTCCTTTCTGGAATCAGCAGTGGTCTGCTGCCTGTGAGGTAGAATATGAGACTCAGATGACTTAGTACTGTAAATTGCATCTTGAGATGTGCTATAGAGAAGCAAGTAAAGGCAATGCAGTCATGAACTGCTCCATTCACTGTCATAATAACAAATAATATGTAACAATAGTTGCATGGTTGGAACCTAACAGGGTTTAGACAACCAGAGACACAATAGAATCTGAAGGCCAGATTTTAGATCTAATAGTCCAGATATGACTATATTCATGAGCATGACCTATTTTACCTGTACCAAATACTCACTGCTCCCAGTGGCTGACATTAGCATATGCTTCTTGTGTAGCAGCACTAAAACCAGCCATTTAAACTAGCTTATCATGCTCAGGCTTCAAAATTTGAGACTATATTCCTTTCAAAGTCTTTTAAGCCATGTCTAAATCAGAAAAGTCTACAGTTACTAAAATATATGGAAACATTACAAACAATTTGTAAAAAAATAAAAAATAAAATAAAATAAAATAAAATAAAATAAAATAAAAAGCAAACAGAGAGCAGATGGGGAAAATATTTTTGCCAATCACTGCTTTTGACTGCAGTGAGAAATGTAACTGAGAGGAAGGACACAAATGAAATAGAATCATTTCCAGACCCTGGTGTGTCTGAGAGGTGGAAGGCTCGGCACTGGATAATCACTCACTTGCAAGTTTTCCTGTCTAAGAGGTGATAATGAGACTTCATTCGCCATGCAAGCACCAGCTTGATTTGCACGTGTCTAAGCTGCCTTGTTACACATTCTGTCTTGTGCATGGAAAAGCTGTTCTGCATTG